CACTGCCTTGAAAAATATCAGTATCGTATCGAAAACAAAATAAGTGGGATCGCCCATCCCTACCAAAAAGTGATTACAGACTCTACTTAAGCTGCGTCCCAGATGACACACTATACTCTCATACACTATGTACTTATGCACTATGTACTCAACCATGTATGAATTATATAAGGTTATTTTGTCATTCATAATCGGAGTCTCATAGCTCCTCCCCCTTCGGTGCGTAATTAAAGCTGCGACAGTTGAGTGCATGAAGAGTCCAACATCCCACACTTCATTTTGTCGGCTATTTAAGTGCATCATCCGGGTATTTTAAGTGCACTTATTCTTTTTGTAATTTTCAGTGTGAACGCACTACTCGCACTATGTATACTACTAAAGATTTAGTGTAGAATAGTGCATAAGCACGCGATTTGGGCCGCACCTTTTGTGAGTGAACCGTTCTTTCTGCCTCAAAATGACTTGATTTCATTCATGGTTGTTGTCAAAAAGTATTTCAACAGGCAAAAATGACTGAATGAGCTATAATCTGTCAAATATAACCATGAATGAAATCAAGTCATTCTGAGGCAGAAAGAACGGTTCACTCAATAAGTAGAGTCTGTAATCGCTTTTAGGCAAGTGTAAGGCGGACGGCAGTCAGTTTTCGGCGGAGTTTTGGGCTTTGGTCTGAACACAGAGTCACTCCGAGCAGAAGAGTCAGACTGAACCGTGTTAGTACAGGGCCCGACCATTGTCTCCTAAAATCTGATATCATTAAACACGCTCGTGTGTGTTTGTTTATGTTGTAATGAGCGATTATGCTCTGTTTTCGGTTAAATTTGGTACAGGGCCCGACCGTGACAGATACCAGTGTCTCCTAAAATCTGATATCATTAAACACGCTCGTGTGTGTTTGTTTATGTTGTAATGAGCGATTATGCTCTGTTTTCGGTTAAATTTCGTTACCTCGTGAACGTCCAGCTTTGTCAGAACACCGGAAGTGTTTCCGACTCAGGGTTGCCAGGTCTGCGAAACAAAACCAGCACAAATATGCTAATCAAAACTAGCCTAATGGCGTTTTTCTCTCAGTTTTCACCTCCTTCGAAATCGAGGGGAGTGCAGGGGGTGATCGCTTTAACCCGCGGACTGAAAAAACGACCCGCGACTACAGTATAAAAGGTGCCCAGTTTCGCGGGGAAACAGAGGGCTTGGCAACCCTGCACCGGACATGTCTAAAAACAGCGTTCTCGGTTCAGAGATCCGCTAGAACCGATTCAGTCGAGTCTTCAACGAATCATGCGGAGGTTTTGTGAATCGTTTTAACCGATTGATGGATAAGAGCATATGACACACATACCAAAACAAGGATAATATACAGCAGTATATTACACCATCACATGAGCCGTGGTAAAAAGACATCTCTGATAAAAGCCTGTACAGAAGTGAGAGATCTGAAGTACAAAGCTGAAGAGATGCTGGTATTATTTAGTTGCTTTATTACAAATTCTGAACTTCTAATTGGAGCTTTAACCTCTTAAGACCCGGCAAAACATTTAAGGAAAAAAATAGTATTTTTTCATGTCATTACATTGTTTAGAGCATTATAAAAAAAGTTTAAAAAAAAAAAATAATAATAAAATATATTTCATTCATAAGTTATGCTACGTCCTCGGTAGAGGACATCAGGACTCAATTTAAAAAATAAAAATAAAAAGACATGAATGAACATGCATAGGCAAAAACAATCGATTTTTTTTTTTTAAATCACCAATACATTTTTAGTTTTCAGGATTTTTTTTACCAAACATTGTATAAAGATAATTCTCAACTATGTTATAACAGAATGATTTGATATACCATTTTTCTTTATGCAAAATGTGTGTAAAATCGCCACAAACAGGTTTTCTCATTTTTTGCGACTCAAATGCTCTGAGATATAAAAGTCGGTTAATTAAGGAAATCGCGCCTTGATTGATTTGTCGTGTGACATGTCATTAGACTTTGCAGTATTGGACGTCTCCATCTTTAATATTCACTGTCGCTATGGTTACAGGCAGTGTTGGGGGTAACGCATTCCAAGTAACTTGAGTTACGTAATCAGATTACTTTTTTCAAGTAACTAGTAAAGTAACGTTTGGAAATGTAAACTGATATTTTCTACTGAAACTACATCAAAAGATCGAAATGACTGCCTTGAAACCATTTGTGTTGGTGAAAATACTAATGGCCGAAGACTTTTGCACAATACTGTATGTATAGCGTACATATAATAGCTGTAAGTCTATCTCTGACAGCACATAAAACGTAGGCAGAAAATACACTCTTATTTTTATTTGAAATAAAGTATACTAACAGTACGCTTGAAAACAAGCAGAGATCGCCATTTTAGCAAAACTGCAGCCAAAGATCCTTTTGAGTTACAAAGTGATGTTGAGGCTGGAAATGTTTACAATATTTTCAACAGTGAACAGAACAAATAAAACACGCTGTCACTGTTGTAGAAACATGTCCCATCTTCACTCTCAGTGCAGAGTTATAAATGAAGAAAGTAAACAGTGAAAACTGGCCATATTCAGAGAGTTTGCTGAGAAAGACGAGATACCACAGCAACCAGAGAAATGAGAAAACAGACAAACTAAATGAGCAAGTGATGAAAATGGTGTTGAAGCTTTTGACTAAATTATACATACTAAAATATATTAGCTTTTCTCAAAACAGAGAAATGGAGCATGTGAAGTGTCAAATGTGGTTTAAAATGCATAATATTTATTGCACAAAGGGGGTATAAATGTATTTGCACAGAGATTACAATCAGGAGAAGCAATGAATTAACCTTCACATTCTTGCTCTAATACACTTATTATTAAGAACAAGAGATAAAAAAAGAGAAAACATTCTAATGGGCCTCATTCACGAAACTTGCGTAAACAGGAGCCCGGTCTCATGAAAATGCGTATAAATAGTACGCCAAATAAAAACGAAAACTCGTGGTATTGATACGCAAAAATGGACTTTGGCGTGCATATGATACGCATGTGTTTGGCGTGCATATAATATGCAATTTTCGCGTACATATGATACGCATCTACCCCACAACCCTAAACCTACCCATCGCGTAGCATATACATGCCAAAGTCCATTTTTGCGTATCAGTACCACGAGTTTTCGTTTTTATTTGGCGTACTATTTATTCGCACTTTCATGAGATCGGGTTGTAAATAGTTACGTGTCCAGGAATGCAGTGGAATATTCTGCACTCCCTTCTCAGGTTTGGCCCCAGTATATTTCATAAATGCAAAAAATACTAATAGGCCATATGCCTAACAATAAATATTCAATTAACGTGTGTCCACCAAAGCATTTTTAGCCAGCTGAAAAATCTCAGGCCCTCTTCTGAAAACGGGCAACTGGTGGCACTTGAGAACCTTTTTGGTGGCACAGCATTTTTCCAGACGCTTTTGGTTGCTATGATTTGAAATATCCACGGCACTAATGTATTAGGCCTACTAGTATCTCATTTTGAAGAATATTACTGAATATAAAAATGCAGTAATCAGTAATATGAACTTCTCCATCATTGTTCAGTCGTTGTACAAGTAGGATGGTTGATTGCTGTAGCATTAGTCCCGCCCCCAGAGGCGGACAGTAGTGAAGTATTTTTACTTTACTCAAGTAAATTTAAAAAGTATCTGTAGTTTATCAGAGTGTTTTTCTTTTGTAAACTTCACTTCACTACATTCCAAAGCATAATGTCATACTTTTTACTGCACTTCATTTCATAAATCTTTCTTGTACTCAAGTAAATCTTTGAATTACTTTTACTTGAGTAAAGGTAAGAAAGTAATAGATTTCTAATGCAATTAAGTATTAAATGATATTTAATATGAAACATAGTACAGTAAAAAGTACAATATTATGCTTTGGAATGTTGTGAAGTAAAATTTTCTAAAGAAAAACACTCTGATAAAGTTCAGACACCTGAAAAGTACTTTTACAGCAGAGTAAAAATACGTCACTACTGTCCGCCTCCGGATACAGATTATATCTGTTTATTATAGTTTTCGACAGTTCTACAGTTTTCTGTACTGTTTTCAGATGTTCAACCACAATTGCTTCTGCTCTCTAACCTTGGCAGAAAGAACAATGAAGGGCTTTCTGACATAAGTCACACTGTCTGTCTGACAAAACCCCATGTTAGATTATTGTAGTTGTACTACTGATTTAAATTCATGTGGAGGAGTTGTCAGAGGAGATTTAAGGACATTTTTTAATGGCTGTTTTTAAAACGGTCCATTAAGACATGTTTATATGCCAAGAATAACTGCTTAAGCG